TTGTTTTCACGAATTGATGAAAAAATATTTATTTGTTTTCAGTACTGAATTATTCTACGATGAAGACAACATAAATGTATCTGTAACAAACTATGGATGAGCATTTTCCGATTCTGACATTTCCGGACTTTGCAAAAAAAATCCTCACTCCACAACATTAAAGTGATCGAAGAGACGTTTTGAAACGGATTTTATTTTCAAACGCTTTTATTCGGGAATGCCCATTCGCAAGATTTAGTCGTTTTTGGTGATTTAGTGAAATACCGACGAAATATTCCGAAAGAAAATGCAATAAACATATCTAACTTGGTTTTTGCAAATCGTTTCCAAACAATTTTGCCGGTTTTCCTTGGACATGGCAGTGATTTTTCGTAGAAGTGATTAGGCAAAAAAAAAAAAAGAAATCGCTCTGCTCACAATAACATAAAAAAGGTTGCGTAGGTGAGTATTTATTTATTTTTTTTTTTTTGGTTCTAATTTTTGGGTGGGAATTTTTTTTATTAAAAAGGCAGTTTTATTGTCTCCACGATGTCTTCCATTCACTGTTTGCCCCCTCCCCCCGCGGATTCGTGACCTTTTTGCGCTGTATGGATGCCGCCATCTTTCTTTACTCTGCTGTCCGGGCGGCCTAGCCTGTCGGGCTGCACGAGCAGGACCGAGTTTGTCACTTAAATTTCCACACTTAAATATTTTCAATAACGTGATACATCGACTATATCAAATATTTGCATAAAAATGCTTGAATATTTTGTTGATGCTCGTTGACGCTAAGTAGCATGAGCCCATTTCAATACCATGGATGGGGCATGGACGTGGACAACGCAGGCGATGCGCTTATATAACAATTCAGCAAATGGGGTCAAGCTATTTAGCATTTTCTGCGTGAATCTGGAAGCAAATTCGATATTTCTTACACACAATGTCAGGTCTTCAAGTCTCTAAAATATGATAAAATCACTTTTAAATCTTCAGAGTTGTTGACGCTAGTTGTGCATGTTGACCCTTGTTGATGTTCAAATAACATGACCACATTAAATGGACAGAACATTTCCGATGTTTTCACAGTGCACCTACCGACTTGTTCTGTATTGGGGGAAGAACGGGGGCCTCCTGTAACGGCTGAGATGCCGCCACTGCATGTACCTCCGTTGCCTCGATTACATGTATGTGTTCATAACGAAGAGTTCTGTTGCCTCCAGTTACAACCTTTGAAAAAGCACAGTATGTTAACGACTATAACGCCCTGAACACCATGCAACAAGTCTCAGAAATGTGCTTTGTATAATTGGCAGTTCATTATTATTACGTGTGCTTCAACACGAATACACTTTTGCGGTTTCATGTCAAATACATGTACTCGCTCTGCGAATTCCAAAAGGTGGAAAGCATTCAAAATTCCAGCAAAAACTGGGGCAGATGTTCCATGACATTAAATCAACTTCNCCTCTTAAATGGCAAGGGGAAAGTTCAGGTGCTAGATTGATAAAGAATTAATTATGGTTGGGTGAGTAGAAGTTTACCGTAAGAAAAACGCACAGAAACACAACTAGGCCCTATATGTTGAACTTGGCAATGTACAAACAGTTTCGCCTTAGGCAGCTTCCCGGGCCTGTTCTGTCCTCCATACTTTCAGAAAGAGATTTCTGTTGCCGAGTCAGACATTGTGTGATGTTCTGTGGAACCAACACACGTAATTTAGGCAAGTCGAGGGGTTTTTGGTTTAGACAAATGCTACGCATTCAAAAGATTTACGATTTACTGGTATTGTCGCATTAATATTTTAAATAGAATAGGCATGATAGGGCCTGACATACCTCACATTTGAAGATGTTGTTTACTTCGACGACGAAAGTTTCACCCGGTGTCCCATCAGCTTTCAGATTGACTACTGAGTCTCCTCTTTGAAGATTCTTGGGTTCGCGAAGTTTTGGCCACTGGCGGAAATTAACTTTCCGCTTGAGTTGCCGGCGTGTTTCAGGAACGCGGACGTTCTCATGTTTGACCCAAACTTGATCAGCTTTCGGATAGTCTCGCCATTTTATGCGAAACTCTTTTTCGTTTTTTGCCGTAAGCGTACCGTACAACCATAGCCCGCAGGTGGGATCGATAACTTGCACCAAACGTCCGACATCCATGGTAGACTGAGTGGAATGATTGCCGTTTGGTTCAAGTCAGAAATTTATACTGTATTCCCTAATAGTATAGTGCAATGCGTGTCTGTTTATTCCCTTCCGCTTTTACCAACAGGGGAATTCGCAGGTCATAAGGTAGTGCGGATGACGGAAACAAAGATTTAGCTAAAGCTTATTGTTTACTTAACAGATTAATAACACGTTACTAAGATGTGGAATAAACATCTTTCACAAGACACGAGGAACAGTGGTTTCACTGCCAATAACACATCCATCCACAACAATTCCGTATGCAATCTGGTAATAATTGATGATTGTAAATTTCTTTTTGCAGTCTAGACCATCACAATAACAGATAAACTTATCCAAGATAACAGTTTAAACAAGTCCAAAGGAAAATCACTTTTTTTGCCTTTATAGCAGCTGCTTAATTCTTACTTCAAGACAATCCCTAACCACTTCAACAAAAATCTGCCTGTCCGTTTAATATCTTATCGATTTCTATTTTTTGTGGAGATTGAAGTCATTGACTCCCCTGAAAAAATGGAGTGTGGGATGACCAGGTTGGAAATTATCTAGATTAAACAATCCATCGGCCTCTCATATGCAACACGAGGACAGATCAGAACCAATTTTCGGCAGTGAAACAAAGATTGGAAATTTGGTCATGTTACTTTTCATGGCTTTATGAGAGTGAGGCTAACTTGGGGACTCATTGCTTGCCTTTAAGGGCATGGGAACTAAAATTGGATCTGAAATCCAATTTCCTTTTTTTCTTTTTCACAACAACAACAACAATGGGAAGCTGGGGGATAGTGGAGTGCCATGGTCCTTATTGCTACCTCCGTTCTCCACCGTAGCCGTGATCTGGACATGGACCAGTGGATGTAACTAGTGGAAAACTGGAAATATTTTCGGTGAGCCTCTTGGAGTGAAAATACATCTCTTCGAATTTTGGTCGAACTCAGTTAGTATGGCATGAGCTTAATCCAGGGTAGGGGTTGGCTACTGAATCTTTCTCGTGAAGAATTTTTCAGACTAACGGCTAAAATGTACTCAACATCAATGAGAATGGGGGGAAACAATAATTATTAAATGGAGCCATAAATATGGCATTCTTAATAAATGTTACACGATATGTACATCAATATCATAAACATCAACCTATATGGTGATATGGTCACAACCCCCCTCAAATTTTATGCTAGGGCAAATCATCCCCATACCTTCCCCCTTCCCTGTCTGCATTACATTGTTGCTATGTATTTTTCTTCTCATTCTATTTTTCCCCTAATAAAACCTTGGTGCACAAAGCGTTTGAAAACACGTGCAAACGAACATGTATACGGGTACCAAAACCTTTCATATGACGAAGACATGATTTATTAAATTTGCAAAGGTTATCACAATAAATATCAACAGAGATACATTCTCAGTTTTAAGAAGTTTATGTCAAAACATCAATAATGAGCTTCCCCTAAATTGAGGTACATGTAGTTTCCGTCAATGACGTGGTCATTATGAACGATGAATGAGTACATCACTTCACTTACTGAGTGGCCTGGGCAATGTTTGCCTTTATAAATTGAAGAGGACCACATGGAAGTACTTGTAATAATATAACTGTGGCGGCCACTGCGGCCTGTACACAAATTTATGCCATAAAACAAGTTTGCACTCGTTTTCTGGTGACATCAGAATTCCATGCACACAACACTTCTATTTTATTTCAATTGCGGGTTTTGTCCTTACACTGACGTACATATACATTTATAAACGCTGTATGAGAGCTTTTGAAAAGCTGTACTCAAACCCACGACCTCCCAGCTGCCCACAGTTACTATTTACATGCGTAAACACTACTTCAGTGACTCGGTACATGCCATCATGGTTTCATGAAGTGCATGGCCATTAATTACTAGGGTTACTAGGACATATCCTGTCTATTGAAAAAGGGCTCAACTTTGAATAAAAGACCTAATGAAGACTTTAGGGGAAGTGTGGAAAGTTGCTTAGAGTGCAAAGTCTTAGTATCCGGCAAAGAGCCCCTTAAAACCCAGTGGCTCGACCTTCGCATTCAATTACTGCCGGAATAACTTTACGCAGGTGGGAAATGTACTTCCTGCATTTTGAGCGAGTGAGCTTGGTTGTCCAGAAACGAGTTAGGCCCTGTATCAGCTCTTCTTTGGTTGTAGGCTTATGTACCTGCAGAAAAGACGAAATATTAAAACATAACTCGTTTTTTAATTATCTACAGGAAAAATGTCATGGACATTTGCTAAGAGGTAAAGGGTTATATTGTTCCCTTGGCATCAATTGAGGAAAGATACTGATCTTGGCCTCGGATTTTCCCGTACCGCAAAGAGGCAAAGCGATCCCCAACCTTTACATGTACACCATTCGAAAACGTAGGTTGTTAAATTCATCCATTTTTAGTCATGCTAAGATCTGTACATAAAATGTACGGACTGAATAAAACTGAATATGTACTCGCACATGTACGTTCAGAAGAGCGAGATACATGTACGTTTGTTGACACTTTTTTATACCAGTAATTACAGACAAAACCTCAGTTGGGCAGAAGTTGCCCAACTTTAAGATTGATTAGGTTTTCCTATTGCGAGAGCATCGGGCACAATAAGATTCGATTATTCTGCACGGTGATAACCCTCAGACGCCGTTATTCGTGTTGAAAAATTTATTTTATGAATTCTTTCTTACCCTCCTGAGAAACCATTTCATCTCACTCCAAACATTCTCTATTGGGTTCATGTCCGGTGATTCAGGGGGAGTCTTTACCCAGTTGATGTTGTTTGTTTCCATGAAAGCGGGGACATAAATACTTGTGTGCTAGATTTAAGAATGATAATAATGTAACTGCTGTGCAGTTCAAGTTCCAATGGGGCCCGCTTACTGTACATGTATTCTTGATGTAAGAGCGTACTATGACCATGTCCTTCAACTGAATATATACATGTATGGTACTGGTAGCTGTGAAGGAGATTCGATTGATGTTCACAGCATTCACCGGATATGAAATGACAAGCAAGCGGTATATAGTGTCCATTTTTATATGTATATGTAAATAATATCTGTGACAAAATCCAGCAATTTCACTAGAAAGTTTATATTCATAAGAAGTAGTGCATGCANAAGTAAGCTTGGTTGTCCAGAAACGAGTTAGGCCATGTATCAGCTCTTCTTTGGTTGTAGGCTTATATGCCTGCAGAAAAGACGAAATATTAAAACATAACACGTTTTTGAATTATCTACAGGAAAAATGTCATGGACATTTGCTAAAAGGTAAAGGGTTATATTGTTCCCTTGGCATCAATTGAGGAAAGATACTGATCTTGGCCTCGGATTTTCCTGTACCGCAAAGACACGAAGCGATCCCCAACCTTTACATGTCTACCATTCGAAAATGTAGCTTGTTAAATTCATCCATTTTTAGTCCATGCTAAGATCTGTACATAAAATGTACGGACTGAATAAAACTCAATATGTACTCGCACATGTACGTTCAGAAGAGCGAGGTACATGTACGTTTGTTGATACTTTTTTATAACAGTAATTACAGACAAAACCTCAGTTGGGCAGAAGTTGTCCACCTTTAAAATTGATTAGGTTTTCCTAATAACAATAAGATTCAATTATTCTGCACGCTGATAACGGTGAAAATTTATTTTATGAATTCTTTTTTACCCTCCTGAGAAACCATTTCATCTCACTCCAAACATTCTCTATTGGGTTCATGTCCGGTGATTGGGGGGGAGTCTTTACCCAGTTGATGTTCGTGTCCATGAAAGTCCGGACATAAATACTTGTGTGCTAGAATTAGGAATGATAATAATTTAACTGCTGTGCAGTTCAAGTTCCAATGGGGCCCGCTTACTGTACATGTATTCTTGACGTAAGAGCGTACTATGACCATGTCCTTCAACTGAATATATACATGTATGGTACTCGTAGCTGTGAAGGAGATTCGATTGATGTTCACAGCATTCACCGGATACGAAATGACAAGCAAGCGGTCATATAGTGTCCATTTTTATATGTATATATCCATGACAAAATCCAGCAATTTCACTAGAAAGTTTATATTCATAAGAAGTAGTGCATGCATGGTTGTAGGTTGATGAATAAACATCACGAATGAAAGGTACAGATGTATAACATAGAATTTTATGCTAAACTCAGCAATATGCATGTTGGGTTGCGGGAAACTATCAAGGAATTATATGTTTACATGTACCCTTTTATAATTATTCTTCCTACATTGTCATATTGGCCTACCTACTGTGAAGCCCAATAACAATGAGGTTATTTTGGCGCCCGTATTTATAGTAGACATGCTATCATACAACAAGCTTTTTTTACTAAGGCTTAAAATGGCTCTTACTTTCGGGTCATTTTCCTGCATGAAGCGGTGACCATTTCGATAATGTTCATCGAGGAACGGCTTCAAACCATCTTCTAGAATTGTGTCTTTGAAAAATGTTTGTTCCATTATTCCATCGAAAATCATCAGCTTTGTTGTCCCTTTCCATGAAATCCCACCCCAAACATGGACCTTGGTGGGATGTTTCGCCCTCGGCTTTAAAATCCTCTTCCCACCTTCAGACACTTTTCTGAATGTTATCTTTGAATGACGATCAATTTGGACGGTTGATTCGTCCGTGAAGACAATGTCTTGAAATTTATCGTCGTCTTTGATGCACTTTAGGGCGTACTCCAGTCGTTTTATTTGGTTCTCTAAACGAATTAGCTGGCAGTATTTTGCCCCAGTCTTGACCCAGCCAAGTTTCCGTCTTGCTCTACGTACTGTTCTAGCAGAAAACCAGTCGCCAGTTTCTGCTCTTAAGACATTTCTTAAATCGTTTGATGTCGCTTCGTCATCATTTTGAAGAGTTCTTTCGATGATCTCCAAGTGTCGGTCCTTAAGAATGGTCTTTCTGCCTGTACGATGACAATCCTTAACTTCGCCGGTTTCCTTGTTGCGTTTAAGAAGTTCCTTAATGCCCTTAATTGAATGGTTGTGTCCTTTAGCAATAAGTTGGCTGCGGATTCTTCTGCAGGACAAACCATTCCCTGCAAGGTGAATTATTTTTACTCGAACAGAAAATGGAATTCTTGCTGGCATGATATAGCTGCATGCGTAAAATAATTTTGGAAGAGATTTTACCGGAATTTGAAAGCGCAGTGATACTGAATCAGAACGGCAGCCTGGGCAGGAAGTGAAGGCCTTATCTAGCACGAATCGGGATAAGCCCATGGGATAAGCATTCGGAAGGCGGATGTCCCTTTACGGCGAAGTGATTTACACCTGCACCGGAACTTCACGTAAAGCGGCTCACAATATAGTGCACAACTTCCTGTCAAGTTGGAAGCTGACCCTGTTCACGTTGGGTTTGGCTACCACAAGAACACTGTCATTTTACTTTCTTCGTTCCTTTCTGACAGCACTGAAAAGATCCTTTGCGTAAATCATTTTCAAGAAACATGCCTTCTCCGAGTACTGAACACAAATCAAAGACTGTAGCATCAATAACACAGTGTAAAGAGTGGACAAGAGTGGTAATCGGTATAATTATCCTTTATGTTATAGATGTACATGTATCAAAATGGTAAGAGCATGGAGTTATAGCTCCATGGTAAGAGCTAGTGTACTCAACTGCAGTACATCCCAGCTCCGGCCATTACTATAAATTCGAACTAACAATAGTAATGGCTTCGCAGACGTTATCGTACTCAGTAGTGTAACTATTCCTCCATGGTGTAATAATATGGGATGAACCCGGAGGCAAAACTGTCAATTGTCTGAAATTTACATTTGATTATATCTGTTGTCTATCGAGTGAATTTCTTGCATTTTGAGGTGAATTGTTTTACAAAGCAAGCAGGAAAGGAGTGTTCT